AGGGTTGAGAGGAACTACGTGGTCGGGCGAGAGTGCACAACGCGAGGAGAGAGGTAGCTTGGTGGTGCTACACCAGCAACAGGTGCCCGTCAAACAACGTTCAACGAACGTCTCTAGCAGCGCGAAGCCGCCTCTCTCTTTCCGCCCTGCGCGGAACTACTCTTCCTCTTCTTTCTCCTTCTTCCGTTGGTTTCGCTTCGCACGCGATTCTCGATAATTGATTCGCTGACGAGACAGCAGGACATACTCCTGTCGGATCCGCAAGCGCGATACAAGCCGTATTAGATAAAAAGAAGGAGAGAGAGAGAGGGTGTGCTATTCGTCGACATCGTTTCACGCTCGATAAATCTCGCTGTCGGCTACCGATAAATAATTCCCTCCCCCTCCCTCCTCCCCGAGCATCACGCGCGGCTTCACATTACGCAATCATCGAGATTATCTCTTATTCGCTGCGCGATTTACGCCAAAGTCGTGTTGGAGAATTATAAAATCGGCCTCTTCTTGCTTCGAAAAATTTTATAAACACGGATCACCCGTTAAACGTAATTTCCAAAGTGTCACCTTTCTCTTCATCGAATTCCTCGATCGATTCTCCTAATTTTTTCTTTCACCTATTTGCTGCGCGATACTTAAAATTCCAGACTCTAAATTAAAGATAGAAACTTTTCGAACTAATTAGGGGCATGGAGATAAAAATATATACTCTCTCCGTCTTTTAAAAGATGTCTTAGAGCGCTCTAAGCGTTCCAGAACTTTAATAAATACCTTTTCTCTTTTTGATCGTCGAAGATCGAATACGTAAAACGAGGAGTCATTTTTCCATTTTTCGTAGATGCATTAAACAACTAGTTCGAAAGAACTAGAACCTATAATTTAAGATCCTCTTCAAAATGCATATATAAAGAAAGGCAAAGGAATCAGCCACGTAATCTCACAAAGGGCGGGAAGGCCAAAGAAATAAAGGCGGACTTCAAACCTTCTCTTAAACCGGACTCAACTCGGTTTTCGAAATAGTTCCCCCACGACGCAAACCGGTCATTACAAAATACGAGACGCGCGATTAAATAAATGACATGGCATTCCTCGCAACGTCAGCGATGAAAACGTCGATGCCAACGAAATCTGCCGAAAATCGAAAAATTCGACGGCCCCGTCTCTCTCGACTAAAACCGCGGAACGTCTATTTCGGATTTTATCGGAAAAAAATATACGGTGCTGTCTAAAAAAAAAAAAAAAAAACCGAGAGATTCGAATCTGAATGATTGCTTCCGCCTTTATGCGATTGATCGTTTAATACTTCGTAGATTTTACTATACAAAACTTTGTACAATTTTTAAAAAAATTTATATTACGTAATTATAACAGTCGTTTACTATAATTGAATTGGTATTAATTTTATATTGTTTTTATTCAATTCCAAAATCTGTTGTAAATGTTTCGGACTCGCAAAGATATGAGAATCTTTACTTAATTCATGGGCAGTTCTCGCAAAATCATCTCGCTGAATTACTGATTTTCGCCGAATGAGAAACGGAGAAGCAAAGTGTATCTTTCGTTAAAAATTTCGTGGAATGCGCTGGTAATAAAAGGCAATCAAATTTTGCCGTGTAATTGAACACGCGAAACACTCTGCCAGCACGAGTAAAGGGAGAAAGAGTTAAAGATCGTCAGGAGATTTGTCCATTAATTAATAAGTAAACCGAGCGTTCCCTTTCCGGTTTCCATCGGAGAGATACTTTTGTTTTTGAACGAGAAAACGACAGTGAAGGCCGATGTTTACGAATCTTACCAGGCAGTTAAATGTAAAACCTTCAATTTGACTTTAAAAAAACATCTCGAAAGTCTCTGATTACTCCATTAGCCTGATACGTTCGCAGAAGGCAAGCAATTAATCGGACAGTGAACGGTATATATTGAATTCTGAAATTACCGCTACGAAAAGCGACAATAACTTCGCAACGATAAATAACGCGACAGAGAGAAGAGCAAAAACCGAATTAAAATCACGAGCGACTGCCATGATTAAGAAATTAAGTGCAAAGTTAATCGACCTCGCCTGCGATGCCACAAAGTCGGCGAATATTGCATAAATGAATAAATCATCGCTTTAATCAAGTACACACGAGCGACGCGTTGATATTACAAATATCACTCTCTAATTAGGACTACCCGAAACAAACACCTGCCCTCTCCGGTAAAACCAGTATTGCGCGTTGTGCTACAAACTCGAACGAGTGTATACCGCGTGAAAAGATATAATACCTTGCCAAAGTTCTTTCGCGAGAGCAATAAGAGGAGGCACGAAGAAATATGCTCGATCGCAGGAGGACCATAAGGACAACGGCACAAACATCGTGTATATATATATAAGATATAAACCCGGGCCATACGATACCTCCCGTATTGAATATGTGCGCGCGAGTGTGTTAATATCACGTATTAAGAAGAAACGGTCCATCGCGAGAGAAACAGGCAGAGCTCGAGCGACGACGCGTGTAAATTCGTGCCACTTATACGGCAGCCTCGCTATCGGATCGGATCAGGGTCCCTCCAGAGGCTCCCAGGAAATTCCACGAAGCCACGAATTAGTGTGAAACCCATCCGGGGCGCCCGGAGGGTCGGGATGCGTCTATACGGGGTACGGAAGACATTTTGGAAGCGAGGGGGAGAAAGAGGGACACATGTGTGTATGTATGAGATTAATGTGTGTGTGCGCCGTCGCTGCTGCTGCTGCACGGTCTGGCGACCGCAGCACGCGACACCATATGGTCTGCCGTGACCTCCGTGCACACAAACACACGCAGCCCCCCTTGAAAAAGACTCGCGGAATTGAGGGATCCTAACCGAATCGGCTGATGCGCCATCCTCGAGCGCGCACGCCCCGAAGATTGCCCCTCGGCTCCGGTAGAAACGCGACGGAAATTCGTAAAGCGCCGTCTGAAACTCTTACCGAATTAAGAACAATGTTGCGCGGACGCACGAACCACCGGACGTCCTTTCAACCGGGAGATACTGAGGTATGGATTGAAAAGAAATAGCGATTGCCTCCTCGAGCTATTGAGACGCGACGACATAGTTGTCAAAGCTGAAGAACTTTACGCGGTTGTAATAAAAATGAAAAACAATTTTTTTTGTACGGGATATATAGCTTAATTAACTCGAAAATTATCCTTGGGAGCAATTTTAAGATTCGCGATATTTTGATTTTCGCGGAAATATAGAGCGTTGAAAAATTAAAAATTCTTCGCGCTATATAAAAAAATCGACCGCGGACTCATCGCGGGATTTACGAGCCGAGAGGTCGTCCGAGCGATTCCGGAACAAGCGCTGTATAGATTTACTGCGATAGCTAGGATACATACGATCAAACGCAGTGGACGCGTTGATTATGCGAGTCAGTGACCCGTTGTCGGGCCCGAAAATTACGAGGCGAACTACGGGACGGCCTTTCGACGCTACGCGGAGGGTTATTTATTCCCTTCGGAAACGACGCGAAATGTTTTTTTTAACACTACCACCGGCGACGGACACGTTCGAGAGGGCTCGACAAGGGGGGCAAGCGGAGATAGAGAGAGAGAGAGAGAGAAAGGAAAAATAGAGCGAGAGAGAGCAAACGCAGGGACACCGGACGGTGCTAACGATAAGTGAAACTCCCGTAGGAGCCACTCGGGACGGCGGTTACAGCACCCTCGAGGACGCCGTCGGTGCCTATATCCTAATAGAAACGTAATCGCGTAGTTTTGCCCGCTGAATAAATCATCGCGGGGGCTTCGAATGAACGAGGGAACGTCGTGGATTAGCGATCTTCGCCGGGGCACTCGTAGATTTACCCTATTCGCTTTCGCACACGCGACTCACCCATTTGTATTTATTTTTGTTTTTATTTACATTGCTGCATTACAACGTAATGCATAAAATAATTTTATTTCCATCACGTATAATCATGCATATATATATATAGATCAATGATTCTTAGATGCTCTGCTATGCGTATTCTCGGAGATATGCAAATGTAAAGTTTAATTGCGGCAATCGAAATAACACGAAATCTTTTAAAGTCTCGGTAATTGCGGGGAACTTTATCATTTTATACTTCGCGACTGCGGCACTTTCGAATTTTCCACGATACAGCAAGAAACGAGAGAGCCTTGACAGTTCTGCGATTTTTATCTGTTAATAAATCAGTTAAATGGATACATCGAGAGGATTTATTCAGCTGCTGGTGTGTTTAATCGCGTCGGAAGACAATTTGCTTCTTTTTGAGCGAAAGTCAGGCAAGAAGACGAACGGTAAATATTGAATATTTCTTACAATCGATCGTTATTATATTATCGGTTTGCAAAAGAGAGCCACACACATCTCTCTCTTTCTAACGTGCGCGCGTGTACGCACGTCATCTACGAGACGATGCTGGTTAACACGAGACTCTAAACAAATTTGACGCGGCTCGATTATTGTTTAATTTTCTTCGATCTTTGTTTGCGCGATTTGAGACATTGAATTGCAAAACTGTCACCTGTAATAGTATATTCGCGAGTTCGTGATGGGTGTCAAATTTTCTACGCGTACGTGTATATCTATCCGCAAATCGTCTATTATTCATTCTTTCAAATATATAGAAAGCTAAGTGTATATTTATAATTATAATAAAATGTATTTAATATCTGTAATTTTTGTTATCATGTAATAAATGAAAAAGAGTTATTTTGAACGGTGAATAATATTTTAGCTCTTATAGAGAGAAAATTTCAAGTAAGCCAGCTCAAAGCTCTTGGGGAAAACATCACGAAACGTTGGCGTTTCGTATCGGTCGCTATGGGATGGTAAAATCATCATCCTCAATAACGTTGCTCGTAAAGATTACGATCGCAAGTATCGCCCGAGTTCATCCGAGCGTCTCTCGCTCGCATTAGATGCCGAAGAGATACGAGCAAAAACTTAATTTACGAGTTAACCTAATTACGCATATAAAATCATGATATATTTTTTCGATCACTCACCCAATGCTGCGTTGCTACTACTTCTCCTTCCGGTCCGTCGAGGTTCTGTTAACAAAACAATTGAAAATATTGTTAGAAAGGTTACCGATTAAATATACGAAATATACGTTCACGTGATCATTGTATGACACGCTGATGTTCGAATGCAATATCTAAACGCGGCTGCTATCGATTGTGAGATTCAAGAGCTGCCTAATCATTGATCGAGTGAGTCATGCTTGTTTTCGACGCCTCGTCGGAGGCGTCTGTATATACGATGTCGCGAAAAAGAGCAAAATTGATCGAGACAAATGTTTAATTTTGCATAATGAATAATAAAACGACTTTGTGTGCTCAAGATTTTCAACAGTAATTTACAATTATGATAGATGAATTTAATATCGAGTATACTTACGTCCTTCTTTCTCTTCACTGTTGCAGCACCTGAAATCATAACAAAATTCACGTTTACAAAAAAATTTTTGATAAAAGCAGTTTTTCGATAATAAAAAAAAAAAAAAGAAAGTGTATAAGATAAATACAGGGTGTTCGGTAACTAACGAACCAACGATTACAAATGGATTCTTTGGTCAATTTGGGAACGATTTTTCCTCAGCAAAAATGTCGAAAAAGGTCATCATTTTTTACAACTTTCCAATATTTGTCATTATGTATCTTTATAACTAAGCCTCAAATTAAAATTTTATTATAGTAAACTCCACCTGAAATTAACTGAAGAATGTAATTATGTTAGACTTTTAACTCCAAAACGTTTAGTTTTCAAAAAACCCATTTTTTTTCAATCGCTTATAACTCAAAAATTATTGACTTCTCAACATTTTTGCTAAGGAAAAATCGTCTCCAAATTGACCAGAGAATCCGCCCTTAATCATTGGTCCGTTAGTTACCGGACACCCTGTATATCCCAGATATATTCACAGAAAGTAAAGAAAATTATTTTCTTTTAAACATGCGCACTTTTCTCTTAATCTCTCCCCCTCTTTATCTCGATAAAGATAATGCGATAACAAAGGACTCACCGCCAGCGGGATTAGGTAACCGTGCGCCGTTGGTACCAGTGGGGGTCGCTGGATTCACGACAGGGGTAGGAGTACTCACGGTACCTACGGTAACCGGTACACCCTGGTCCCGAACGGAAAATACGGCGAGTCCGGGGGATAGGTAGCGCCCTCGACGCCACCACTACCCCCGCTGCCACCACCGCCACCCCCGACACCTCCACCCGGCCCCCGCCCGGTCCACCCGCTGTAGGACCGAATGCACCACCGCCGTACGCCTGGAACAGAAATCGAAACATGTTCTTTTTTTTCCCTCGATATTTTATTTACATTTCTGGAAGCGACAGTTATAATCGCAATATTGTGGCAACAGATTATCGATAAAATAATGATAATACAGAGTGTATCGCTTATATATATATCGTTTATCGAAGTGTTCGAACTATGAAAAATAGTAATCAATTCGATATAAAAATGTTACAAAATATTAAAAGTTTCTTAAAATAATACCAACTAGGAAAACAGTGTATGGTATATCTGTTGCAAATAACTGTCGCAAATTGCAATGGAAGGATGACGCAAGGGGAGAGGTTTGCGAAATGGAGGAAATGCGACAACGATAACTCGGAGGCGGCTTCAATAAATCATGCATCGAAATCAATATTCCTTATCAGCTACGGTTTAACGACTGTCGATTAGATATTGCTCTCTCTTCGAGCGCTTTTGAAAAATTTAAGTATACCATATTCATTTCGTTTCCGCGACTTATATAGAAACGTTTAAAAAAAGTAGTTAAATTATGTCTCTGCGAATTATCATGAACAGGAAGAGTGAACGAAAATAAAGTTAGTTTTAGACGATGAAAAGATGTGGGTCCAAGGTTTCTCACATGCCACGTGTACATGATGACCTTTCACGTAAGAAACGCAAAATAGAACGTTATATGTTGCGCGTTAATGTGCTTACAAGAATGATCAATAGATGACAATCTTTGTTTCGTGCGATAAAAATTTGGGAAAAGTAGTTTAAAAGTAGTAATTAAAAATATATATAATATATGCACTTTTTTTATTTAACAAAGAAAAATAAGACAATTGTTTTAAAACAATTTTTTGTGAAATATATATCTCTTGATATATATCATATATAGATATATCGTTATGGATGAAAGAGAGAAGGCAGGAGAAAAAAAAGAGAAAGAGAGCGTAAGTGATATTAAAGTTGGAAGTTGACGACGCTCAACCGCAAGGAACGATATTTATTCCGTTTCATTCGTGATTCTCATTATTTGCTATTATGCATATAACATATTATAGATGTTAATTTTATGTTAATAGATTGGTAGTATGGTAATTGATTAATGAATAAAAATGGATCATGTAAATATGGATAAATAATTAGGAGTTTAATTCAGCAAAATCACAAAGAGAAATTAATATTCTTAAAATGAATGAACTAATCTAATACACATGTTGCTTCTTCAAAGAGGCATATTTTGCATATTATATACATTATCGATAAATAATACGTTTTCTAGAGAAGATATCCAAATGTGACAAGGAATGAGAACCGCTTCCCGAAAATATCACCCGAGGTAAAGTTTTGGGATTATGTCGGGGTTGCCGGAGAAAGAGAGTGGAGTCGGGGCGACGCGAAGCGAGTAACTTTTTCTCAGATAAATTCGCTCCTACGACTGCAATAATTATTACGCTCCTATTTCTTATATAATCCCGCCTCGTTTGGAGATTCAAGTCGCTCGCGCAACAAAGGAAGAGCCCTCGAATATTCCAACATCTCTCTCGCGCGTCGCTTGACTCGAATGGGGAAGAAATAAAGCGCGATACGCGATGGCAGAGAAATCGCTGCGAATGGTATTGTTGTGTGAAGGTCAATATCAAAAGATCACTCACCATTCCGTTGTCTATCGTGGATCCATACGGCGTTTGAAAGGTTGACTTTTCTGAAACAGATAAAACGAATCGTAAAAATCTAGAGAGATAATATGCTCTTTTTCATTCAAGAAAGAATGCGTGAATTTGGAAAGAAAATTCTTACATATATTTATATAGAAAAGAAGCTCATTGTTTATATCATAGTGCATAGCGACTACGTAAAAAAAAAAAAATTAAAGTTATTAGTACATTTATATTTGACTAAATATATAAATTATATCTTCAGGGTGTAAATTATGTTGAATATTATATCAACTGTGCGGATCATAATGATACGTGTACGAAGCTACTACATAAATTTATCATCCCTCTCACGCGTAATCCTTGGACCAATAAAAGCGCACAGACGTCCCACGTGATACTAAAAGGAAAACAAAGGAGAAGGATATCTGAAAAATATCCGCAGTATCGAAGCAGAGGAATGGGGAAGAAAAAAAAAGAATAGTTCACATCTTACAGCCCGCAATATTCTTAGCGCGTGAGTCGCCGCGCCGGGGCAAAAAGGGGAGCGAAAAGAAAGTTCCCCTCTTCGAGAGGAGTCGATGCAAAATTAATGCCGGGCATAAATTCGCGATGCGTCTTTATAAATCAAAACCGCGATCGCGCTAAGAATCCGTACGCCGAGATATATATACATGCGCGTTTTCCACGTTGCGGTCGCGATACGCACGCGGAATAAACAACGAGATAAACATTACGAGGTTGCCGCACAGCTAGTCCGGGAGGGGGACTTCATCCGTTATTAATGCCCACCCCGTACACGTATAACGTAGGAGCGCGAATCTATGCGCGAGGCGCGCCATGTCTTGCGGAGAATTTATGAGGATCGGTTGGATTTACGTTTCGAAAACCGCCTGGAAAGAATTGTAGGGCGACGTATTGCCGCATCGAGATTAATTTTCATTGGACGAGACACGCACCGGCAAGTACCCTTTCGTATTATCCGCAAGCAACTCTATTTCCTCTCTCGCAGCATTAAGATTCTATATACTAAAATGATCGTATCCTCCATCTCGATAAAGTCTCGTACATAACTGTAACGTCGTCGATATATCTTGTTATATAAGTATAAAGAGAAAGTCTGTATCATATTATGATTGAAATAAAGGATATTATAAGTCTGACAACGTGAATTGATTTTAATTAGATGACACATAAAGAAAGACCTATCTTTTTTCTAAGTATATATTGTACATATGCCTTAAATCTCTTTCAACGCTCAGGATTGAATGTCCTAGTCTAGAAGATCCCGAAACGATATTATTATACAGTCTGAAATTCGGAAGGGCGGAGCGCGATACCGCGGGTTCTCACAAACACGCAGCAGACATACATACGTATATGTATGAGCGCGTATGAACGCATCGCGGGCATACGTATTACAATTATGGAGAGTATAGTCGCGCGTGGACGATAGGGCGAGTGTCCTCGGACGGCACACGATCGCCCGAGATAACTATGAATCCTAACAGTTTCGGCTTGCTCGTGACATGTTTGCCGAAGCGTGCGGCACCGACTCCGCAATATCATGCATCAAAGGACAAGCTAAACCATGGTCCATCGTGTCATCCTCAGAGCCGGCGCAAGCCCGCTCGACCGTTATGACGTAGTGCTGAGCGCCGGGCCTCCATGTCACGACTAGTTCGTCTTCCGCGTTGCCTCTGCCGCCGTCATCCGTTCGGTAATTGTTCGATGAAGAATTAGCCGGGAATTAGCTGGTTGCGGGTGTCGCCCTGATACGAACCGCGCACGGGTGTCGCATGGGGAACGATCGATTATATGTATACAGACCATCGCTGATGTCAAAGACGTGTATCATGAGAAATTTGGCTCCCAAGTATATTTCCAAGTCGTAAATTTCACGTAATAATCTAACAGAATAAGCTTCTTCTCTTTTCCTCGCGTTTCATTTTCTACGTATCGAATAAACGTATAATCAAAGTACAGTAGATTAATGTTACTTATGAATGATACTTATATGCGAACAAAGGGAGGGTAATCCGATATAAGGGATAAAAAGGGACGATGACGGAGTGTCCCATCGACGAGGAATTTGTTACGCAATATGCAAATTTCGATAATATCTGTATAGTCTTCGGACTACATTAATGCGATGTTACACCTCACGATTCGCGCGACACGACCTCGAAAACCGCTATATAGCAGATGATTCTCGACGGGCGACACGAGACCACAATGTGTTGGTCGTGTTCCGCTTCGCCGAAAATCCGCAAAATACCAATCGTATAATAAAAGACATATGACGGTGAAAGCTGGCTACCGTAATTATTATAATTTACAATTGTGCATCTAATAAAATAATTAAGTTCTTACAAGCCACAATATAAAAACAGACGCATTGGATGAAATCGAGACTTGAAAAATGTAATATATATAAAATTCATTAATTTTCATAAATTCTCTCTTTCACACATTTTAATATCTTAATTATAAAATTAAATAAAATCATCGAGCTTTTAGTCGAATTCTAACGATCAAGCATCGCCGGTACCAGCGATCGAATAAAAACTGGAACATGAAAAGTGAAGTATTGCAACGCGTATATGCGCGCCGAGGCCAAAACTGGCGGACACTTTCAACGTTGACGATCTCATAAAAAAGAGGCATTCGCTCGTGTGGAGTGCGCGACGTCCCGGAACAAAAGTGCGCGCGTAAAAAAGCGGAGAACGCGAGAGCGACAAATAGACACGCGTGAGCGTGAACATACGCGGCTGCAACATCGAAGTACCCCGGGATATATATGTATCTGCATTTCGCGGTCGCAAAAATATATAACTCTCGGTTAGAAATTTCGCGATTTCATATCGGGGTGAGAAAGGGTTTCAGCGTTACGCAGTTCGCCGTTGAGGTTTATTGTATGGTTGGAATTAATGATTAATTGCGGGAGGAACGTCGTTTACGCGGGAGTAAGCAGCCGTAGAATGGAAGCTGATTCGTCTCCGAAGTTGCAAAAATTCGGGGACAACGAGAGCACGCACGAAAGGATACCTACGGCCGTACCGAGATCGCATTAAGAACGCTCGATCGAGTGTGTTCAACACGATCCCGGGTTAGATGACCGTCTGGTCTTTAACTCTTGCTATGAACAGCTTTTTCCACTGAAAAATAATCCGTCGTCCATTCGTCCAACTGATACTCTCGGAGAGACTGCTTCAAAGGAATTTCCTAATTTTAATATGCATGGGTCAACGAGCTGTATGGGTATACATTTAATTCAATTCAAATCCATCATTAATATAGATAGGTATATCTTACAATTCGAAAGACATGCTAAGCGAATTTCGTACCTCGTGCACATTCATAAGAACAACGAGTAATTAAATTTTCGCGGTTCTTCACGCACATACATTCACGATCGGCTCTTATAGCCAGTCTAATTTTCAGTATAATAAATATTATATTGTGCCCATTATAAATTTGCAAACTGGGACGGCGTAAAAAGTGGCGAGTACATGAGAGAGAGAGAGAAGTTCAGGGACGAATTGGACGCGCGCGTAACGAGATTCAAGGAGACCACCTCGTGCAAGACGAACGACGTACAGGTGAATCGCAGCAGCCGGTTTTCACGTTTCGCCGAAAGATAATTCAGATGGCTATCTCGCGCGTCGATCGTATCGTCCTTCTATCGTCTTTCGCGGATCACCTGCCGAGAGCCGTGCGTGCACGCACGCACGCAGGTTACCCACGTTGGCGTCATTCTAGCGCCAAGAAAAATCTCGCGGGACGTATCACGACAAAGGCGGAGAAGCTCGTAAAGCGGTAAAGGAAATAATTGAACACCTGCGCGCCGTGGCGGGCTTAATTCAATTAGCTCGCCCGACAAATGCCCGACACTTTCTTTGTGCACCCGATGTAAATTTTACAAACAGCTTTACAGGGTCCTGCCGTGTAAATCTGGATACGCGGCGACCGGCCCCGACAACTTGATGCACGCGCGGGTATTTTTTCAGAGATAAAACTGCCATTAAGTATTTCAATTCCGTAATGTGATCTGATTAAGGAATAGGATAACGGAACTCTTTATTGATGACTGGGAAGGTGGAATCGCAGGATATTCGACAACTCGATTATACCAATGGCATAGTTTCTTAAAATGTCGATCTGAAAACTGTGTGCACTTAATAAATTAAACTTTACGTTTAATCGTTGAATATTAAGAGAATTCAGAAAACGAAACATTTCGAAAAACTATTATCCTTATAAAATAATTTTCTTGTTTCAATATTTATAATTATGTCAAAAGTATTAATTTTTTTTATAAACGTATCGAATATTTATTCTATAATAATTTCATTAATCTGCTTTTCGTATATTGATTCAAATTTTTAAAAAATATTTAAAATTATCAATCTCGTGCTTTTGGGCCTTCACATTCGTTAACTCCGTCACTGGATCGTCCCTGTACGGTCAAATTCGCGTGCGTATCGCATAGTGCCACGCGACCCGAAAGGGTTTCTGCAGGTAAAAACGAGGAGGGCGGCGAAAAAAGGAGCTACGATCATTGAGGTATACAGAAACAGCAGTAGCGGGAGACCCGCCACCCTCGGGGCCTACGACCCCGAACAGAGGTGGGATACCTATAGGGTTCTACCGAGGGAGTAAAGAATAGACTCAGACGAGAAAGACGAAAAAAAAAACATAGAAAAGGGCTCAGGTAACCATTGGTGCTCAACCAAGCTTGCGCCATTCCTATTATCTCTCGGTTATTCCGATAAAATTTTGCGAGTCAATCATTATACAAAAAGTAGGTATATATTAACGGCAAGAACGGTCCCTAAAAAAAAAAAAAATAAATAAAAGATACAAAAACAACCTAGAAAAGATTGCAGGAATATGCGTACATGTGTGAATAATATTATTCTTATGATATCTTGAGAATAATTAATTCATCATTCTGGATTATTAAATAAAGTAACATAAGAAACATCTCTCAAATTTCAGAAATGTAAGATATTTTTGACTGCACAGGAAGTGCAACGCCCCTCAA